TTTTGCATGATTTTATTAATATTTTAATAGAAAAAATGTGAAATGAATTATATTAGTAACAAAAATTTTTTTGAACTAAGATTTGGATTTGCGTAGCGTTACTATGAAAAAAAAGTTGCGTAGAGTTAATAGTAAATGCATGCTGATCATTTGTGAGTTATATTAGTATTATTCGGGGTCCTACTAGAACTCTAGTTATCTTTTATAAAACTTATACTAATTTTTTACCAAAAAAAATTTAATTTACTTTTTTTTTATTTTCAGTTTTTTTACAATTATCTTAGCATCTAGTGATTTGATTTATACAGATTATTTTTTATTTTATAGAATTTGATAAAAGCAATAAAACAAAAAAAATCCATATAAATTGAACTACTGTATGCTGAAATAATTGCAAAAAAGTAATTTTTAATTTTTAAAATTTAAACAATTTGCGAAAAGTTATTTTTTTTTTATAGTTTTTGATTGTTAGGTTTTTGATTTTATTTCTTTTAATTTAACTTTCTCTATTTGTATTTTTGGAAGACTGTTTAACTTTTATTTTTTTGTTATATTTATTTGGAACTTCACATGTTCTTTTATTCATTTTGAAATTCTTGTATAAATTTAATAAAGATAAAGGTTACTAAGTTGTATTTACAGAAAAATTACTTTTTAAGGGTTAACCAGTGACTATTTTAGTGCAGTAGCTAAGTACTATATTCTTTATATAGCCTGATTATAGTGAGAATGCAGATTTAATTTTGCTGATCATGAAAATTTAACAAATTTTACTGCATATACTACAACTAATAGTGTTGAATTAAAGGCTTATCTAGGCTGGCATGCTTAATGCAGATTAGTTAATAGACTTTGCTGGATGGTATAAGATGCTATTGGTAGTTACACCTATATATGCTGCCCAAATTATTTTGGGATATCATAATTATAATTTGGGATGCTGTAATTCATTCAGTTTATATGTAATTTATTATATAAAGTACCAAAATAATTTAGAATATTATAATTGAATTTGGAATTTTATTTATAATTATGACAGCTTAAAATAATTTGGGCAACATGTATAATTACACCTGAAGAAACCTAAAGAATTGGTAGACTTGAATTAAATAATAACATATAAATCTGTAGCTGAAATTACTCTTAGATTAATAGGTTAACATATTTAATAAGCTAGGAATCGAATCCAGATCTAATATTCAAGCATTAGCTATTACTTACTAATAACTTCAATCTAACTGTGTTCTTATAGAAACAGTAACTATTGAGGTTCTAGGGATATTATCTATAGATTATTGCTTATGATTAGTAATATATAACATTATATTTTACACTTCTCTTTAATGATAAATTTATCTTAAACTAAAACTACAGCTAAAATATATGACTTTTTGGCATTTTGGCTCTTCAATTTTCAATTTTTCAATTTTAAGGTACATCTTTTTTTTTTCTTGTCTCTTTTTTTTGTTCATTCTGACTATTCTTTTCTCTCAGACATGATGCACTTCAATAATAGATGATTTAAATGCAAGTACATAAGGAAACTATAATGTAAAAAATTTCCAATTAATATAAACTTATTTAACATTTCAAAAAAAGTAAGAAAAGTAAAATTATATAAAAAGATCTTGAATATCTTTCATACAACTCACATTAGAATTCGCATAAAGTTTATATATTAATTCTAGCTAGAATTGTGTATTTCAAAAGTATTTTCAAATTTTCTTATTATATATACCTATTTTAAAGCGATCCAGTAATTGAATTTTGACAAATTTAGGCTTATTAAATTTATCTTTATAAAATAAATCTAATGATAGTAAAATTGCATTTTTAGTATTGATATTTACCAAATTATTGCCAAAAATGCATTTTATTATATGTTATTTAAGTTGTATAAGAGATGTTTGAGATCCTTATATAATTTACCAAAGGCTTTTATTTTTATTTTCTATATTTTGCTTAATATTTTCCAGCTCTTTAACCTTGATATTTCAATTTCAAGGTTCTAAAGTTTTAAGGTTTTAAAATACTTTTTTTTTTTCTTTTTATTTTTTTTTTCATTCGTTCTATTATTCTAACTTTTCTTTTCTCTTAGATCTCAGTTTTTTAGCACTTCAGCTCTTCAGTTCTAAAGGTATGTTTTTCATTTTTTTTTTCTCTTTTTGTTTTTTTTTCATTTGTTTTATTATTTTAATACTTCTTTCCCCTTAAATCCCAGCTTTTTGGCAACTTCAATGCTTTAACATTTTGATTCTGTTTTTTTTTTGTTCCTTCTTTTTTTTGTTCTTTAACTTTGTGCTAACTTCATTTCCTTTTAGGTCCTGGTTCTTTAGCAATTTTAGTACTTTAGAATTTTAGTTCTATATAAATGGATTTTTTTTTTCATTTCTTTGTTCTTTTTTTTCTTTAACTTTATTATACCTTTTTTTTCTTTTTTTTTTTTTTTGCTTTTTTTTATTTTTTTTACGAAAAAAAAAAATAATAAAAATATTTTTGTTTTTGATATGTAAAAATCAAGATACTTGCATCATTTGCATTACATATTGCAGTTACACAATTGTAAATTATTATTTATATGGTTAGTCTAAATGTGTTTCTAACTTCTAAGTATTAAAAAATACTTTAAAATTAGTAAATAGTAAAAAAAAAATTTGAAAGTTAATATAATTTTTTATAAACTTTATTTTTAATTTGTATATAAATTTAATATAATATATTTAAAAATTATTTATATCAATTATGTATACAAAATTGTAATATTATATAAAATCAATATAAATTATATAAATTAAAGATTTAATTTTAGTGATTTAGCAGCTATTATTAAATAAATATATATATATATATATAAAATATCAATAAAAAGCAATTTAGATCTATTTAATATAACTATTTTATATTACTGGTATTCAATTTTATAATATATATTTGAACAAATTGTACTAGTTAAATAAAGTCACTTAGCACCTTTAAAATATTTTTTTTATATTGTTAAAAATTATATATGAAGTATTAAATACTATAAATTGAAAATATATTTATTATATTAATTGGCTAAACTACTAAAAATAAATAATAAAAAAGGTAACAAACAATATAAATTAGATGACTATGGTTATATGGTATTAAATACTGTAATAAGAAATACAAAATTGATGGATTTTTTATATTTAGAAGTGTATTCCAGTAAATATGACCTATATATCAAACATGATTTTGCTTTTTTGTACATCATTAAAAGAAGGAATACTTTCCATTGCACCAAGTTGACTGACAGCCAAACCTGAGGCAACAGTAGCTTCTTTCAATGCATCTAGAAAATCCTCTGCTGTTGGTAAAATTGTGGAAAAACTGTTATTTGTTCTCCTTTGTTTCAGACTTCGAACAATACTAGATACAAAATATCCTGTAAATGTATCACCTGCCCCTGTTGTATCTAAAACCTTTGTTTTAAAAGCAGGAAGGTTGAACACTTTTTGTTCCGGTCTGTACCATGCGTATAGACCCTCACTTCCAAGAGTCACAATAATTCCAATGTGTTTAAACTTAATTGATATAAATGTGAGTAGATCTTGTATGGAAATATCCTCATCCGAACTAAATCCACTAATTTGCTTGTAAAGTTGAACTGCTTCTAGTTTATTGACGATTAAATAATCTACAAGATTAAATGAAAATACATTAATGATATTTTCAGACAATGGCGATGGATTGAAAACAGTCGTGAGTCCTAGAAAATATATGAGCGAAAAGAAAAATTACTTATATGAATATGAAAGGAAAGAATTAAAGACATGAGATGTCCCACCTTTTTCTTTACAAAGTTTTAAAATTTCACCTCCTATCTGACCAATTTCATTTTGCATAATAACCCAATCATTTACTCCAAATTCTTGACTTAAAATTTTACGTGCTTCATCCAAACTTATCATATGGTTAGTTCCCGGCAGAAGGACAATAGAATTATCTCGTGTTTTTTGAGAAACTTGGATAAAAGCGCGTCCAGTTGGCTTTATTAAAAAATATATTTATATATAATAGAATGTAGCAATAACGAAATGAGAAGTAAAATCACTATACGATGTTATAATCAGTCTTACTTGATCTTCTGAAATAATTATATGATCCACTCTAACTCCATGATTATTCATATATTTTTTAATCCATTCACCATCGCGCCCGATTTTCCCAGCATGCCATATCAATGCACCTGCCTAAAGAATATCCCTAACCTTAGCTATTTAATATATATAGAATAAATCAAAATTTTAAAATTAAACCTTTGCTAAAGCAACCGATTGATTTGCACCTAAATTAAGAAATTAATTAATAATTACTTAAAGCAAATTTATTAATATAAAATGAAATACCTTTTCCTCCAGCTCTTTGACAGTATTTACTGCTCGTTATAGTTTCTCCACTCGAAACTATATGGGGAACTTCGAAAAATTCGTCCTAAGTCGAAATAAAAGAAATGATTATCGTATAAATTGCTTAATTTAGTTACAACTAATATACAAACAATATTGATAGAACCGAATGTTAAAACTTTAGGTTCTTCCATTAACAAGAATGTTAAGACGTTTAATTTTTAGATCGCCCTAATGGAGGGCCCCTGACTTTATATTCATCGTACGGTTACACAATTTTTTTTTTTTTTTTTGATACATAGTAAAAAAAAAGAGACCTTCGAAGTCGTGTACAGTCATAACTATGAAGTAGCTTTTTAGGTTAGATTTTACTAGACGAATTTGGAAAAAATCGGTGAAAAATAATTTATTAAAAATCTATTAAGAGTAATGATTTAGAATATCGCCCATATAATTTTTATTAACCTGATAAAATTCGCATAAATAGTATTAGAGACAATATTTATTTATAATTATTTACGTAAATTTCTCAAGCTATTTATTTATCAAAAAATACAAGAATTCTTTATTTCAATAAAATTAATAACAGATAATTTAACAAAACTAATAACTTTTTTTTCGATGAAAAAAATTTTCTTTATAAAAATTAAATAATACCCGCGAAACTTGTTCGAGTTGTGTTTTCTGTCAGAAGGTCAATAATTGACATAAGTGGTTACAAACACACATCAATGGAACACTCAGTTCCCATTGCAAAACGATGAAAACCAAAAAATCGCATAATCATGTTTGAAGGTATATTACACAACCCATGTACACTCATATTAAATTACTTTTTATGGACGAAGGTTTATTTATGCGCCACACTGGTATTCAGGGGTCACTCGAAAAAACCGTTCGACAACCCGAAACTTGCACGTGCCAAGTACTTCTCTTTTTTTTTTTTAACGAGAATGTCTTCGACCGAGGTTTATCAACTTAACTTTGGTCCCATTACGGCCCATTCTTTCAATAAAGATCGAACACGTTGTTAAAATTTAACGTTTTCACTCATTTCTTTCTTGAACCTGGTCAATATCTCATTTTTTTTTTTCTCTTTTATTTTTTTAAACAGAGGTTGCAATTTGTCCTAATAATAATGAAGTTCAAATATACACAAAGGCTGGTAAAAGCTGGAATTTAATACACACCTTAGCGGAAGTATGTATTTGAGAGTGGTGAAATTTTCGATTTATCCAAAAAACACTATTGTACTCAATTTAAATAATACTATAATTCACTTAAGCACGATAAACTTATAACTAGCATCGATTGGGCTCCAGAATCAAATCGATTAGGTTCGTAATCATCATATAGCTCTAATGCATTATTATTGCTTAATCCTCACTATTTCATCGTTAATTCTTTAGTTACAAGTTCTCAAGATCGTAATACTTATGTCTGGAATCTTGACGAAACTGGTGAATGGAAACCAACTTTAGTGTTGCTCCGAATTAATCGTGCTGCAACATTTGTTCGTTGGTCCCCAAATGAAAATAAATTTGCTGTTGCATCTGGTGCACGCGTTATAGCAATATGTTACTTTGATGAAGAACATAATTGGTGGACTAGTAAACATTTGAAAAAACCAATTAGAAGTACCGTGTTAAGTCTAGATTGGCATCCTAATAATACACTTTTAGCTTCAGGTAGTGCTGATTTCAAGGTAAGTGTAGAAGGTTTTTTTCGTACTAAAAAAATATATTCTTATTGTTACCCTGATATTTCTATTTTAAAGGCATGTGTTATATCTGCATTTATTAAGGGTGTTGACAAAAGGTACTATAAAATGATGAAAGATTTATATTTGGCAATTAAACCAGGATGCTTATTTTTGTTAATTTATCCTTTAGACCACCGCCAACGGCGTGGGGTGAAAAGTTTCCATTCAATACTGTCCTTGGCGAATTCTCCAATGGTAGCGGTGGATGGATCCATAGTGTCGCTTTTTCACCTAGTGGTGAAGCTTTAGCTTTCGCAGGTCATGACTCTGAAATTAGTATTGCTTATCCTGGGGGTGCTATTAAAAACATTAGGTTAACTGGTTTACCGTATCTAAGTTTACTCTGGACATCTGAAGATAAAATAATTGCAGCTGGCTATGATTGTGCACCTGTATTATTTGAAAAAGCTAACGAAGAATGGTAGGTAAAAATTCAGTAGGTTTATATCTTTAAGTTTAATTAATGTGACTTTATGTTTAATTAGGAAATTATCAAGAATAATTGATGCCGGAAAAAAGAAAGTCATGGGCGAATCAACTGCCTTTAATAGATTTCGCGATTGGGACTCAAAAGGTCGCGGTGGTAGTGAAGATTCTGAATTGAATACTATTCATCAAAATACAATAACGTAATGTATCATAAAATATACTGTTATTAAAATAAAAAACAATTTGCTAATTTTTGATTTTTGAATCTTTTTTAGTTCAATTCGACATTATGCAGGGACACGTGAAAACGTAACACATTTTTCTACAAGTGGGTTAGACGGGAAATTAGTTACTTGGGATTTAGAAAGTCTTGAAAACCAATTTAGAAACTTAAAAGTATAATATGAAAAGAATTCATAATTTTTTATCTTTTTTTATGGTCTAATTATTTAATAAATTGCGATTTATTTTATATATACTGTATTTTTATTTACAGTTATAGTGATAGAATTATCTCACATAACAAATAAAATTTCATTTTTAATGATTCTACACCTTTAAATTAAAATTATAAAAAAATCACACTACAAACTAAAATTAATTTAAATGATTAAAAAAAGAGTGGGGTTATGTTTTACTATAATAACTAAATATTATTGTATTGTGATAATGATCAAAAAGACATGCGTTTTTGTTTTTAATAAAATTTGTCTCTCGGATATTATGTTAAGAAAAGATTAGAAAACAAATTTTTTAAAAACTCAAAAACTAAAAATTGAAATAAAAATTTACACAAGAAAAAACAAAAATAAAGTTGTATTGTAAAGGGGTAAATTAAAAAGATGTTTGCAAAGGAATAATGCTCTATTTTAATGTGGCTTAATATAGTTAAGAGAAAATGCATGCTAAGAAGCAAATAAAGGAATGAGTTTGCAAAATTTTAAAACATATATATATTAAGTTATTAGAAACTTTTAAAATGTCTTTTAATCTTACTAAGTGTCCAATTAATAAACACGCGTTTTAAGAACGCATGAATTTTATACCTACAAATGTAATGCTTAAAATTTATATGGAAGGAAATAAACACTTCACATATTCATTTTTTATAAGCAGCACTTACTGATCTCCAAATCACCGTTAATTTCATTAATTAGCAGGAACTGTATAGCTAATTACATACTAAACTAAACACATGAGCATTGCAAGTATGAGTAACAAGGCCAATTATTTGGATCGAGATAATGCAAACACTCCTATAATAGCTATTGCAAGTGTAAGAACAGCTCCAGGTAACAATAAATCATGTGGAATAGGTAAATTATAATCGGGTGCATGCTTGCCGCGTTTTCTACGTCTTCTCTTTTCAAGGATATCATCTGAATCATCATCATCTTCATAATCATAAGATCTTAATGATTTCTTTTCAATTTCTTGAATATGTAAAATAACACGACTCATACCCTGCCGTTGTGCGATCCTTACGGCATCAATAACATCATCGTCATTTGACATTGAAACATGATCATCGTCTTCATCTACATAATAGATTGTGAAATCTCGGACGTTGGAGGGAAGTTTGGAAGCTACTGTAGCTCGAATATGTTCAAAACTTGTATAATCAACGGTAAAACGATGTGATTTACCGTTGGGTGCTTTGAATTTAAAAGTAAAGAAGTTTTCATCATGGCCTCGTGGAAATGACGCCATAGATCCATCGTCAATTGCTGAAGCTGATTCACTTGGGTGAATTTCGGGAATTGGAGAGATATTACCGCTTCCACGCGTTCTTGAATTTGGTGATGGTGGTGGAATATTCGAAACACTCTGAGATGGAGCAATCGAATCTGATACCGTAGATTCATTATCACCATCATTAGCCAAAGAATTCCAAAACTTATTCCACATCGGACCACCTCCGTCATTACCATTTTCTTGATTTTGCATGGAATACATCTATTAAGAAATTTAGATCAAATATAAATAATATATTAAATGGTGATTTTAATAATTTTAATATTAAAACGAATATTAACCTGTTCCATTGTTGCATATGTCAATTTCAATACGTCAACCATCCCTAAAATGCTGCCGCCATCAACAACCGGTAAATTTAAATAGTGGCCGTCTATGTATAAATTTGAAGTTTAAATTTAATAAGCAATAATGAACACTCGTTTTTTGATAATTATTTGTTTTGTTTGATCAAGTCATAAAGCAAATGAATAGATAATATAAACAAATGTTTAGTTCATTATAATGTTATGATTTAATCGAAATTTAATATTCTCCTGCAGGATGACAAGTAATGCTGTTGTGTCTTTGCAAAGTGCAAACCTGTTTTAAAACAGGAGAACAGTCCACATTCATGTAAAAAAAAACTTATTGATTGATATTTACCATACATCTTTTTCAATGCATCTAGAATACTTGTCTGTGGCGGTGCGGTATCAGGGTGTGGTGTCATAACTCTGATTACGCTGCATGTTGAAGGATCTAAACCAGCTGCTATAACTCTCAATACAATATCTTTACTGGTAAAAATACCAGCAATCGAATGATGTTCCATGACTAATACTGCTGTTGTTCGATACTCTCTCATTAATCTAGCAGCATCTCTCACTGATGTTTTAACGCCAACTTCGGCTGGCATTGAGCCATCCAAAACGGACGAAAGATCTGGGCAAGCCATCTTTTCACGCAGCATATCCATGTATTGAAGGATCTGTGTAGGTTGATTTGTTGACCATTCTCTTTCAACACCTTCAAGAGCATCATATAATTTCTTGGATGAGCCGTATGCTCGCTCCATTTTATCTAATGCTTCGTAAAGACATTTGGTAATGTCGAGTAATCCTACAACGTCACCTTCTTCGTTACATACAGGCTATTAAAAGATAGTCTACATTAATTTCGGATTTGATGAGTTATCATCGAAAAATTACAGAAGTATATATACATACAAGATGGCGAAAACCGCGCGCAACCATTGTGTTAAGAGCATCTGTTGCTGAAGTATCATTCTTTACACACATCGGATTCCTCGTCATGATCGTTGCTACAGTTGTAGTTCTTGCGTCTAAACCATCCCCAACTACTCGGAAAGCTAAATCTTTAGCAGTAAAAATTCCGGACAAATGTTCTTCGCTATCTATAACAAGCACACAGTCAGCACGCTTAGCTGCCATAAGCTGTGATGCTTCCACAACCAACGCGCTTTCTCTAACGGTTAGCGCCTGTGATGGATTAAGTGATGCAACAGTCCCTTTAGCTCCCGGAACCTGTCGTTGTGGCTTTCCGCGGTTATTTAACGATGTGCTTTTTGTCCGATTTTTCTTGTTTAATTCATGTTCAACTTTTTTTCGAATCGCCTAGTAGTAAGTTGTTCAAAAAAAGAGTAAGTATGAGTAAGGCAATAAACTATATACAGGATGGGTTTGGCCTTCTCATGTCCATTACACTGCGACAGTGATGGGGTCATTACCTCATCCTTCTTTGACATTCTTTGACGAGCTATACCATCCGAAGGAGAACCAACCTCAGAAGAACCGGAATGGCTTTGAGCTGGTGTAGGATAACTAGGTGAAGAAGTTTTTCTAGGTCTAAAGGCTTGAGAAGACATGCTAGCAGCAATGGACGATATACTTAAACAAGCAAGGAATGTTTTGGTCAAAAATGCGAAAAAATATAAAAAATGGTTCAATTTTTTTTTGCAAGGGATAATAATATTTCTATTACAAATGTGCTATTTTATTAACTATATTTGAGTGTATTAATTTGTCACAGTGATGCACACAAACAATCACAATCATGTAAACAATCTAAAAACTTTATATTACTAGATAATCGAAATAGAGAAGAAAATTCCTGAATTAATAGCTGATCTTCACGTTATTTGATTATTATTTTTTTTTGGATGGCGTTGTGATTTTTTTGCCAAACATTACATAATTCTACAGACCACGCTTCAAAATTCAGTATACAATCCGTAATTAAAATCAGAAATTCGATAAATCGATCACCTAAGATATCATGAGAGCAAGTAAACGAGAAATATCCGCAGTTCAATAAATTCCTCATCATTTAATCTATATGCACATCTTTTTTCCGGTATTTCCGGTATATTATAAAAAATCGCAAGACATTTTGGATCGACCCTAAACTTTCCCTCATATGCGCCATTATTCCGAAAAGCCAAAGAAAATTAATGAGCGTCCCGTTCACAGTTTCCCTTTTTGTTACAAGATTTGTTATTAGCCGAAAATAAACTATGACTCATCTTACCGAAATTTCAAAAAAAGCCGTTGACTTCCGATGGGCTGAATCAATAAAAAAAAGATAGCAACTTTGAGTAACGAAAATGATTAAATGAAAATCACGTGATATGCGTGTTTAACAATTAGTAATTAGCAGTTAGTTTTTTTGCATTATATTATAAATATTGCATTAATAATATTAAATATTTTCTATCCAATTATATATTTCAGAGTATTTCAGATAAATAAAATCATAGATTCTTTTAGTTAATATCTAGTAAATATCTAATTACTATATTTGGTATTTAAAAAAATATTTTAAAAAATTCTTATAGAAATTAAGAGAGAATTATTTTTATTTTTTAATATTCATTAGAGATAAAATTCACCAGTGGTAATTTTCACCATATTACATGATTTATATTCATATTAAAATTTGAAATATTAATGTATAAACTTATTAAAGTTAAATCATATGCAAATGCATAACTTTTAAATTTAGACCAATTTATACATTAATATTGTATACCTTTATAAGCTTCACTATATATTAAGGATATTTATTTAACCAATATTAAATAAAGCAATTTTACACTATTATGTTTTTTTATGTTAACCACTACACATTTATTAAGAAAAAGTCAGAATATACATAAATACAAAGAGGATAACCTAGACTAAAATAACCTAATAAACTATTCATTATTCTATATTAAGGACCCCACATATGCACAATTAGGCAGTTTAAAGGTAGTTTTATTTAGAAATAAACTTTATCTTAGCCTTTTGCAAATCCTATAGTCTCAGCTTAATAAATTATAAACTAATATCACTATAGATTATATTACTATTATAAAAATATTAAAAACTAAAAAATTGAAAAAAGTTAAACTTCCTATGATTTCTACAGAGTTCCTCAACTTGCCAGTAAAATGGTATACTTAAATTCACTTAAACAGCCTGAAAAGATCTTGGGTCTCATCTACTAATAAATTTGCTTAATTATTGCATAAAGAGTTAACACATTCTGAAATGATAATTCATAGTTGTATGAATAAATAAAACCCTTTTATATATAATTTAAGACAGTAATACAAATAATGTTTCCCATTTTGATCCAAATAGATACACCAGATTCAACCAAACTCTTTATTTAAGTAATCTAATATTTTTAATTTTAATGATCCTTCTGCTGATCAACTTGAATTAATAAAAATTAAAAACTAAAATCCATTAATCTTATCAGCTTTCTAAAATGACCGATCTACATAAATCCAAAAAAGTTAAGTAACACCAAACCTTTAGTCAAGATGATCAACATTCCAGTACCTCCAGTTTCTCCAAAAGAAAACCAAGAGTAAAAACACTAAAATTTCAGGAAAAAAAAAAACTAAAAAATAAAAAAGAAAATTATAATCTTAGAAAACCCTTAAGAAAAAAACTGAGTAAAAAAAGTAATAAACACCAAGCCTTTATCTATCACTTCAATGCCTTAAATGTTGATAATAAAGAAAAAGCTCACTTTCTAAATAATCACCTCTACTTCAACTTATACTTTAAAGTAAACCTTCACAATACTTCTAAAAATAAAAAAATTAATAGGAAAGCTTTACATTAGGCTATACAAACTTGATTTTATGGTTTTCATAATATAAAAATTTCATCAATAATCCAGCAACCCAGCTTTTAATTTTTTTTTTCAAAAATTTTATATGCGAAATTTTTTTTCAATTTTTAAAAAATTCTTACCTGGTAAAGTAATAATATAAAAAATTTTTTTTTAAGGCTTAACAAAATTGATCCGGCCGGACTATGAAAACCATTTTTACCACTTTGTGTTGCTTTAGTGCAGAGTTCAAAACCCAACTATTTAGTATATAACTGTTATAACTTTCAGAAATCTAGTGGAAATTATTTTTGGTAAGAACCACTCTACTATAGTTTTGTAATTCCACCAAACTTCAAATTAAAGGTTCATTCAAATCTTAAAAGAAAAATGAAAAGTCTAAAAACAATGTTAAAAGCATTCTACAACCACTTAAGTGAGAAAAACTAAAGTTTTTCTTTCAGCAATTTTTGCTAAATAATTGGTAGGTGAGAAATGTAACTGATTAGTCCTACACTATTATATTAAAATTTAAATAAATCAGGACCCTGGATATCTAATATAAAGGTCATAATGGACTTTTGGCCAAAAACACCCCTTTTTGCTGAAACTCAAAAAATCGTTTTTTGTAAATATCTCAGCATCCAGTAATTCAATTTTAATGAACTTTTTTTATTTTGTAGCCCTCATTTAGCTCTACAATTTAAAAAAAAGTTCATCAAAATTGGACCACTGGATGCCGAGATATTTACAAAAAACGATTTTTTTGCCCCTGAAAAATGGGCCAATCTGCCGAAAGTGTGACTTATGACCTGTTTTGGAGATATCCGGGGTCCTAATAAATCTAAAATAAGTTATAATTGAACTTTACTAATAAAGAAAAAGCAAATTTAGTTAAATTTAAAATTTAACAATTTTTTGTAATTTTTTTTTTAATTATAACTATTAATAATAAATTTTAAAAACAAAAAGGTTTATTTAAATTTAATTATAAAATAATTATAGGAAAATTTTTTTCGCTAATCATATAGATCATTCTTTTACAAAATTTTAGCAATAATATTTTAATGAAGTTATAAGAAAATATGGGTTCTTTTGATAATAATAACGATAAAAGTATTACTTTTTTGAAGAATTTAAAATACTCTTTAATACTTTTAATAGAGAGATTTTTACCACTTTACTTGAATAAACTCTGAAAAGTTACCATTCTTCTAGCAAAACTGGTATATCTCAAAGCTTTTAAAAATTTTGGCCACAGATATACAATTATATCAAAACTTTTATACCAGCTATTGGAACAAGTTAAAGTATCTTGGTCTAAATACTACTATTTATATATACTTAGTTTTCCTTTTTTTCCATTTTCAAAGAATTATAGAAAATGGTTCTGTATAGAATATTAGAACAGTTTGTAAAAAAGAAATCATGTAAACAAAGCATGATAACAAAATTGATCAATGACAGTCCAGTTATACAAGTAACTTAACTGGCACAAATAGAAATTTTTGAAGAGTTAAAACATCAATCACTAGTTGTATTACTTACAATATAAAGTAAATTTTTTGATGTATAAATCCAGTCATTTATTTTAAGAAAATGGTTATCTTATGCTAATATTATCAAATAGGATTTAAATTCAGATGATTTTCAGTTTATGTTACCCATGCTTATAGTCACTAAATATAAAACACTCAAAATATTACTTCTAAAAAGAGTAGTATTATAGAAATCTGATCAATAGTTCATTAGAATCGTCTTATTGAAACAGTTTGAATGGTACTAAAATCATTCTTTTAGCATTGATAGATGACAAGTTATTTTTTGAAAAATTGGTAAAATTAACTCTTTATCTATTGATACTAGAAGGATGATTTAAATTGACTTGATAAAATGATTCCAATAAGCTATTGATCAAGTTTTTACAATTACTGGATAGCGAGTTATTGCACAAAACAAATTCTGATCAATCAAAAAAGAACCAAAAAATGGAACTGAACTGTATCATTTAGAATTTTACCAGTTATTCCATTAGTTAGCAAGACTACTTAGTAAATTTCTGATTTCAGCTAATAAAGTTAACTTGAAAATACCATTTAAATTTTTTTCCATCTTTTTGATCATCTTAATGGTTTGTCATTTTTCAAAAGATTTACTCTTCTTATTCTTATTATTTGAATTATTTGGTGCTATGTTTAAATCTATATCTTACTAGTTTTGTTTATGATGCAAATTATTCTTTTTTGGTGACCTATTTTTAGGCCTATTCAAAGTGAGCACAAAATATCTTTTCCATATACCTTTGAATTCTTAATAATTGAAATCCATATTTGTAATATTATTCAAGTTAGCCTAAAAATCATAATATGTAATCAACTTAGATCACCCTTTTCTTGAACTATCTTGAAAGCTTTATAATTTATGAAAGAAAGCAATGAATAGGCAAGGTTATTAGCAGGATATAAAATATCAATCGTTAGTAATTTGAAAATATCTATTATGACTAAGGTTGCTTGCCGAAACCTAAGGGTTTAGGCAAGATGGCGTTTCACCGAAAAGCGAAATTCTGCCGAAACTATATTAAAGTTATATTAAAAAACTGGCGAAACTTTGGAGAATAGCGAAACTGCCGAAACTTATTATAAATGCCGAAACTGCCGAAACTCTGCCGAAACTATAATAAATCTATAGTAAAATTTTGATGAAACTAATCGTAGGATTTTGAAGAGGTTTAGACAAGCAACCTTAATTATGACCATCTAGAATTTTTTATGTTTTTTGCATTATTTCAAATTTCAAGTTGCTAGAAATCATTTAACAGGTAAACTTCTAAGAAGAGCAGTTCAAACTTTACTATATTATTGTCTTAACACCATATTGTTAAACTTGATCGATACCGTAAGTGTAATGTATTTCTTCTGTGTTTTAAACTTTATTGCCAAAATGTTACCCTAAGCCTTAAGGTAATTAAGTATATCTATTTGAGACCATTTGGAGGAAATATCATAAACAACTATTTTCTGAACATTATCCTTGAGCATAAGCTCATATTTAGTTATAACAGTTGAAATAGTCTTTCCAGAGTGTGATATTGAAATTTGGCTTTTATGTCAGACTTTTTGGACTTCTTACTACCGCTATTAGAATTCTTTAAAGTAATGTTATTTATTGCTTGCTTACATTCAATACCAGAAAGTAACTAGCTATCATCATTAGGTGTTCATTTCACAATATTGGCAAAAATCATCATGTGGTTTTTTCCTTTCGAAGTAAATGGTACAGCTTTTACATTCAGAGATTTTGTTTGTATTTCAACAATCACATCCTCTGATTGGTGCATAGTAGTATCTAGAGCTCTGAAAATGACTCACATAAACTTGCATTTTTGACTCGCATAATTGTAAATTTTTGTTTAATTATATTCTAACTTAATAAAAAGTACTTTAAAATTAAGGTTTTTGACTCATGACTCGACTCAACTCGACTCATTAGGAGTTCTAGTAGTATCCATAATTTCTAAATTAGTAGCAGGTACAGCCAGAATATCAGGTTTCTTATTGGTGGCAAATATTTGTTTGTATTTTGGTTGTGATGTTTTTTCTAAGGTTCCAAAAAGGTTGTTTATAATACCTCCTATCATTTTTTTGAAAACCATCATACTGTAAAGGAAAGGCATATATTTATTTTCATTGTCTATGCCAAGTTTCATTCTTACATTCTCATATTTGTTATAAAAATCTTTAGTATACTTTTTTGTCTTGTTAGATAATATCCCTTCAAGTGTTTGGAACATTCTCATAGCACTACTTTTTTGGATGAAACCAAGCGTAATATCTATTTGGACAGCAAACTCTATACTGGAGAAAAGGTCAACAGCTTCTTGGGCTTCTTTCAAGCCTATTAGAGCATTGTTATTATCAGTTTCAGCCATAGTTTATGAAAAAATAAAAATTTTCTTTTCCGAAAAAAATGGACTGAGTGATCATCAGAAAGAGTTCCTTTTCACTAGTATGTTTTATAATTGTTATAATATTATATTAAATTGTAAATGAATAATAAACAAATGTTACATTTTTCAATTAATTTTATTAATTACTTATTACAAATATTGCATAATCTATAATGTCATGTGATGCGAAAAAACTTATACCAGATTTTTAAATTTTTTATAACGAAGGTTCAATAATCGGCTGGAATGCCAAATTCATTATAAGGTGAGCTAACTGTATTTGTTTTAAACCTCTTTTTATAGATATCATATGTTGATTACATCCATTTTTTTGTATGTTATTTGCACGTTTTATCATATATTAAATGGAAACATTTTAAAATATCAAATAACTTTATAGGTATATATTCCATCTTATTAACATAATTTGAACCAATAAAAATGTTTACATAACTAGGATAACAGTAACCGTTAAACGTCTGAAGCGAGCATGTTTTCCAAAGTGAAATCTTATTGCACTAGTCAAAAACCAATATATCGGGTAGCAGATATATATCAGATATGTACCCGATATGTGTAGTATTAATGCAGAAAATCGGGTACCCGATATGTGTAAGATATGTGTAAATATATATATCATATACATATCATTTACATATCATATACATATCAGTACCCGATATGTATATGATATATATATTTACACATATCTTACACATATCGGGTACCCGATTTTCTGCATTAATACTACACATATCGGGTACATATCTGATATATATCTGCTACCCGATATATTGGTTTTTGACCAGTGTTGGTATTATATTTTGCAACGATTTATAAACATCATGAGCACAACATCTTTCACATTGGTTATAAGTTACATTTTCTCTAATTTTGCATTTTTTAAGTGTTTCAGGATGAATAAATACAGGCTGGCTATCCATTTTATATTTTTATTTATCATTTTAAGATTTTAATAACAAAAATAAATTACACACAATATGTTATATTTTTCATTTATTATTAATGAATCTTAAATTACATGAAGATATAATTTAAAAACAACTAAATTTATTATGTACATCTTATGAGTTAATAAAGTCTAATTCTAAGCAAGCTAATAGTATCAAAATTAATAAGCTAATAGTATAAAAAGTATTAAGCTTAAATAAAGCATATATATGTCACGACTGTCATGTGTATATAAGTCACGTATGGGACAGACAAACATTTCGTAGAATGTAAAAGTCCTCCACTCCACTTCGGACAATAAAAAAAATCTGGCCCCATTTAATTTGAAAAATGAGAAACATAAAATTTAATCTGCCTGCCACATCTTGAAAATCTTAAAACTACTTGTTGGATATCATATAAATCGATAATAAAATTTGGGGCGGTAACTGTAGCTGTGCCTGGGACTGCTCTACATATCCTCCAATAGAGACGCCAATTGGCGGGTCCCAAAAAATTTCAGAGACGGGGATTGTAACTTGATATGCAATAATGTTCAGAGCATTACAACCGGTGGGTAAATTATTACCGAATTGTACTGTCCCAAAATCCCACTATTATGTTGACGAAAATTATACTTAGATATAATTTTGATAGGAAATGATAATAGTAACCAATCTCACCTCCTGATAAAATACGCCTGACAGTGTTGTTACTGCTGTAGCCGCTGGTCCTGTTGGTGGAGCTGCTACACGTGAGTATAGCCTGGCCTAATAACAATAATAAAATATTCAGAATTTAAAAGATAGTACATTAAAAGGATTGTTGTATGTTATATTTATTGTACTCGTAACTAAAAAGAAATAATCAGAGACGAAAATTAAACAGTTGTCTAGACATACCGTTAAAGTCTGATTAATTGATCCTTTCCTCTTTTCATAGATCTTTATGCCAAGTACGTACCTAACGTATCCTTCAAGCATCCAATTTGTACACTTTTTATGCAAAAAATTAAGGTCTTCAGTATAAGCTACCTCGCAAAATATTCGCCCATGGTAATTTTTCTGTAAATATATTAATATTACCGGTAAGTAAATAGCTCAAAATAAATGATCAATGTATGTAAACTTACCTCTACATCACAAGGGGGTGGCCTATACATGCTGCCCAAATTATTTTGGGATGCCATAATTATAATTTGGGATGCCATAATTCATTCGGTTTATATATAATTTACTATGTAAAGTGCCAAAATAATTTGGGATGTCATAATTGAATTTGGGATTTTACTTATAATTACGGCAGTCTAAAATAATTTGGGTGGCATGTATAGGGTGGCCCAGGGTGTCTCAAATTAATTGGAACTGTAAGATGAGCTATGTGTGGGCTAACTTATACATGTAGTCGAAACCTCTATGAAGCTGGACAAGGTTTCGGCCTTTCAGTAATTTAATTATAATAAATTATTAAAAACTATTCAGAAATCCATCCGAAACTTCAAAGACTTTATATTATAGTTTCGGCTGGATGTAGAGATTAATTTTTATCATTTTTTAACTTAATTTTGATTTAAAAATGTGGCCAAAAATCACGTGAAAAGGTTTCGGCTATAAGTATAAGCTAACTGTAACGTCTGCATATGTTTTTAGTGTGTATGTGTTATCGGATGGGTCATAATGAGCTGCAAGAAAAACGTAAAATGTTAATAAAATGTTATAATTTCAAAGTCAAGCAGAACTAGAGAAAATTCCCTTACATGGTGCACCTAAAACAGTTATCGGAGGATCACGTATTACTCTGCCATTTGGGATTTTAAAAAAATCCTGAAGCATACTAACAACGGCTGCGTGGACTGGTAAAGGCATAGCAACTATAAATACGTTTCTATTTTCCAAATAAAATTTTAACTTTGTTGATTCGTTGCGCTCAAAGAAAGTATTATAATCTTTTTTTGAAACGTTCCACCCAATTTGAAAGGGCAAGCTGTAAACCAGTTGAGTTAAAATTGAGCAACTTTTAAGTAAATAACATGTGAGGATCACACATACTGTTCTTTTACTAAAGGAAAAACTGGTAGCTTTGGATAGTTATAGGCTTTATCTTGAACTTTTTTAACTATCCTTACTACCGATCTCCAGGCTGAGCTTAAAGACATTTTTAAGAATTTCGTGCAAAAAAAAGGAAGACAATCAAATTTTTTACTCGCTACTGATTTTAAAATCTGTCACGTCACAAGATTGTGTCACATTATAAGAGTACTTACGAATAGTTGTAGGTGTTGAGTAGAGCATGACACCCATATGACACCATACCCGGGTGATAACACTTCAACTGCGGTGCTAAAGTACAGGACAATGACGTAGCAGGATAGGCGAATAGGCCGGTAAAGAGTCATCCATAACCCAATGTGAGAGAGTGCATTTTTGATGTTTAAGTTGAATGGCAATTTGTTTGCCGAAAACCGGAAAACCATCATCATTAATAGACATGACCCAATATCGCTTCTTATTAAGAAGGAGCTGAGATTGAAGAAGTAATAGTTGGACGAAAACGCTCAAGTAAGAGCCCATCTGAGTCAGGAACCGTAACATGATTATAGACATCGTTAAACCATTTAGAAGGTTTGCCTAATCCTCATTTTTCAGTGAAGCGTGAGATAAAAGAGGACTAGCAAAGAAGCATGTAAAGGCTTTGTTGCGTGGTAATATCTGATAAGTAAAAGATGAGACGCTTTCGCAAACAGAAAAAATGAAAGGTGAATAATTTGGGTGATAAACACTCAAAAATCGGGATAGAATCATTAGGGAATGTCAACCTCGATAATATATTAGCAATATAATCTTTTTTGAAAGATAATAAAGAAAACCAAGGAAACCAATCGCTAACATCTAATGGAGAAATCGGAATCAAAAATCTATACTGAATATAATTAAAAATAAAGATTGATTAAATAGAAGAAGAATTAGCTATCAAAATTAAAATAAATTAGTAAGATGACATTGTTGTTGATGTGCAAATAAATTGATAAGCCAAAAGTGCTATTCAAATATAAAATGACATTAGGAAAAGTTTTGGATAAGTGTGCTTTGTGTTTCACTGGCCACCAAAATTAGGTTATATCACATAATTTTAAATAGTTGTGAAATAGTAAAAACTTTAAATCACAATAACTCCATGCTATAAATATGAAATTCATATATTCGAATCCTCTTAATGAGACGAATTGAATGGCATAAAGATCATTGGAATCTGATTACTAGATACCAAGACTGCAAGCAAAATGTTTAAATATGTAAGTAAGAACAAAATGGTCAATATTAATGCTATCGATACGATCTTACCACCATTCGATTCGTCTCGATTAGAGCTTTCAAATGAGCTATAAATCATCAGATTCCAATTACTAGATGGCAAGATATCTTTAAAATACTTTTATTATTAAGTTTTAATAATTGTAGATAATTATTCGACCATTTTTGACTTTTGGGGGCTAAAGTTGAATTAATTTCGACCATTTCGACCATTTTTAGGGTCGAAATAACCTAATTTCGGTTTCATATATAGCATTAACAAATTTCACGTAGTCACGTGATAAATAAAATTATATAGTTATAGTTATGGTGAGATTTAGGCAATTTCCTTAAAACTTTATAATAAAATTATCGTACTACTATAAAGTTGACGTAGTAGAAATAAATGAAATTATGTTAAAACTTTTATAATTTAATCATTTTTTTTTTTAAAAAGAAAATTCATATACTTTATTAATTTATAATAAGAATGATGAAATATGCAGTCTTTTTGAGTTAATGATTAAGAAATAATTAAAAGTGTTAGTTTATCAGAAAAATCTAAAAAAAAAACTAAGAACAAGTATATATATATATTAAAGAAAAAAGAATATTATACATATATAAGAAAAAAAAATTTAGTAAGAAAAAAAAATGAAATTAATATTTCTTTTCCTTACATTCCCTTTAATATACTCCAAGCTTTTGTAGCTCTAATTTCACTTTCACTTAATGATGGTGAATTGTTATTGTCATTACAGCTATGTTGTTGATTATTATCTTCTCCGTTTTCTTTATCATCACTATTATCATAATCACCTTCTACAATACTTTCAAGCATAACCAATTTTTTTATAAATATATCACGAATTTTTGTTATATCTTCAAATACCAAATTTTTTGATAATCTTCTTAAATATCTTGACCAGAGTGTTATTGCACTTTGTAATCTTTCACTATCCAACATATTAGGCAGCTTATTATTCAATGTGGATGCGGTAGTAGATTTTGTGTTAGTCTTCATTGTGGCGGAAGTTGATGTATTTTCAATTTTATTTTCTTTTCCATCTTCATCTTCAGTGGATTGTTTCGTGCTATTATTCAAGGTATTATTTAGAACGTTCATAGAAGATGATAATCCTTCAACGATTTTCCATCCTAAACTTTTTGCTTCTAATACAATCCATCCAACACAAAATTCTGTTAAGTAATGTATATCTTGTTCGATTTCAAAAGAATAATAATTTAATTCTTCTAATGAACTATCATCGCCATTTCTTTGTTCTTTTCTTTGTGTTAAGGCAATGCTAGCTTTATTAGCACATCTCAATGATGCTTCGAGCTTACCTTGCATTAATAACGCATAAGAAAGTAAACCCATAGCAATAATTTGTTTATCGTTAATATTCTCATTTGATTTAAATCTTGGATAATCTTTAAGCCTATTAACAAGATTTTCTCCAAGCTTATTATGTTCTAAAAAGAATGCCTCCATACAACATCCAACTAGTGCATACCAATGTGTGAATGAATTAGGTGTGGTATCTCTTACTAACTCAACAAAAGAAAATGAGTGTTTAATTTTCGGTGATGAAAACTTCCTTTTACCACCAAATTTAGTAGAAATAAATTTATAAAAAGCTTGTTTAAGATAGATCATTGCTTGTACGTCAGCCACAAGTGTTAAAGGAATCGTAATTTCTTTCGTTAATTCACTGGATGATTTTTCAAAAATTGAATCACGAATTCTATTAACAATTTCTTTCCACATTTCACTCTTTTGATCACAGTTTAATGCCATTTCAAGCCATTTCCCTCCTGTACCACTATCAAGTACTTTTTCTTTGTTTGCTAATTTCCAAAAGTGTGCAACAACTCTTCCTGAAAGGAATGGGATACTTGAAAGTCCGATATAACTTTGTAATGCTGCATTAGCATAAATACGTGAAGAACTAAGAGATATATATTTCCTTGTCGAATACGAACTTTCCAATAGATTAATGGTACGTAAACAAGTGTAAAGAATTGATAGACGTGAAACCTTTTCATTACCACCACATAATTCAACTTCACCTATTCTTCCCCATAATGCTACTTCAATAAGTCTTTCTTCATGATCTGTATGTGTGTAAACAGATGTAATATCCCATCCCAAAATTCTTCTTAAAGAAAATTTAATGAATTCTGAAATAAGTCCAACAAAAATCTCAAATATGTTAGAAGGTATTCCATTTGAAAGACTTGTAAGGGATCGATAAATTTCCTTAGCATCCTTAGATTTAGAGTTTAATGCATATGTGATGACTGAATTTGATTTGCGTGAACGACGTGATTGAATTGAAAATAATGAGGGTCGAAGAATGTAAGTCAAACATACAAGGAAAGTAAATATTCTTGCCAAATACCAAAGATCAATAGTAAGTACACCATCGTTGACGTCCAATGAATTTTTTTCAACGACAGGTGTAGGTGAACTAGTCAGTACACGACCTTCATGATGATGATCAATAGGATGAGATTGTGTAATATAACTTGAGGGTGATGTAAAGAAAGTCATACACATGAATAAAGCCATTAAAGCCCTTGAACCAACTGGTGGAGTTTGTGGAGTTGGTGGTGATTCATAATCTGGATTTGGCGAACCGGGAATAGATTGATCCGGAGAACCGCAGGGCGGTGTAGTGTTAGAAATATAAATATTATATAAATCAATACCACCGGGTAAAGTTTCAATTAATTTCATCAAGGTTTCATTTTCACGTTTGACTTTTTGATTATTATTTTTCAAGTAAGTAATATATTCGGTTGCTTTCCTAAGAATTGTCGCTTTATTCAATTTTGTAGCAGCAGGTATTCCATCAACTTCGTCGATATCGTCATCATCTTTACTATCCTTACTTTTGAGATGACAAAGTGCTGGGACGACATTTTTAAGATCATTAATACGATCATTAATATTATTTCTATAACGACGTTCAATGGCATTATGTGCAACTTTCTTTTGCTGCTTATTCGGTTGTGATTGAATATTTTGTTGCGGTTGTGTATTCGTGATTGTCGATTTGAGACGATTTATAGGTAATTTAGCAGTAGAAGAGCCATCACGAACAAGTAAAGGCATATTTGTAAATTGAGAAGAAGCTTCGATAAAATTTGTTGCGGAAGGATTAATAGTTTGATTCCAAGAATCCGGGTTAAATGCTAACATAGAGCCACTTGTTGCAAAATTTGAAGGTAAGTCCGAAGGAACGACGGGAGAACTAGGAACTATAATACTCTGAGTGGTGCCGTCATTACGCATAATATTAGAAACCAGAGAAGTTGGTTCATCTTTGATTAATTGTTCTCCAGAAGGTCCGGAAGATTTTAATTCAGTGAAAGGGCTTTTAATAGATTTGCTGCTACCATTTAGACCTTTGCGTTTTTTCTTTAAGGACTTGTCAGGTGAAACAGAATCGCGGTCAAAAACTGAATTAACACGTTTTCTATCAGCTTGTTGAGAAGTTAATTGATCAAAAAGAGATTCTTCCATAGAGGGATAATCTTTCATTATAACATCATTTGACGATATAATAAAGTCTTGTAAATTATTAAATTGTGGTGGTGATCTGTTATAAGAATTTGGCGAACTCAAAAAAGAATCGGGAGAGCTTAAAGAGGCTAAGATATCTGGAGAACTAAACAAGGGATTATCAGGCGAAGTTGGTACCGAATATTGAAAATTACTAAAATCATCTATATTACTAGAAAAATTTTGATTTTGACCAGGACTTCCCAAATCGTTATAATCATTATTCCCAGAAAAAATAGCTTGTATTTGTGCTTCAAATTCTGATAATGTAGTAGAAGGTGGTTGTGCTGTATTTGAATTATTATCAATAGTAGCAAAATCATCAAAGAATGTAAGCAAACCTAAATCCTGGATTTCTGTTTGCTCTCCGTTAAGTAAAGGATCTGTTTCGTACATTATTCTTTAAGATATAAAATTTTAAATGGGTTAACGAAAATTTATATGAAAGGAATATTTAAAAATGGTCTTTACGAATTTATTAGAAAACTTTAGGGGAATATATAAATTTTCGACAAGTAAAAATAACTGGATATAAAAAAGTGGCGTGAGCAGATCCAAATTTTTCTTTAAAAAATTAAGAAATTGATTGGATATTGATGAATCAGGTCAGAAAATATCGTAACACGAAAAAAAAAAAGATTTTAAATCTAACCCAACTTCCCAGGTATAGGTGCGTCAATTTATACGTCCAACCACATTACCATTTTTGAATTGTAAGAGTCATATGACAAAATTTACACTTTATTAAAATTTTTATTTCTATTTGCTATTTACAGTACATTATTAATTTTATTTTATCATTATTATTAATAATATGAATATAGATGCTAATTAATTTAAGAATATTTTTATTTTTATTTTTATTTTTAATTTTTTTTTTTTAAGTCCACTAATAATTTCTCCTTCGGTGCTTGTCGCCGCCTCCACCAGGCTTTTTGCTTATTCCCGGATTATAATGACCATCGGGCACCAACAAATCCGAGAGATGAGAAGGCACTGCCCGATTGATTTTTATTGGTGGCCGGGATGCAGGGGCAAGAACTTCGGGTTGGATCCGCTCCACAATTCTCTCCCCCGGACGCTCGATCAATCGCTTCTTTGAATCGGGTTCTTCATCCCGATCATGATCGGACCGATCTCTTTTCTTTCCTGGCACAAGGAGACGCTCGCGCTCGTCGCGCATTTGGCCCCTTCTTGACACGTCATCAATATGGCGCCGTCCGTTGCGATGGCGATCACGTTCTACTTCTCTTTCGCGACGGTCTTCATCGCGGTTACTACGTTCACGTCCTCTTTCTGTTTCTCTGCTCCGTTCTCGTTCTTTCTCCTTTCCTTTATCGCGTTTATCTTCACGTTTTTCCTCCCGTCTTTCTTTATCTTCGCGACGTTCTTCTCGTTCTTTTCGTTCTTTTTCTTTCATTCTCTCATCGCGATCTCTTAATTCTCTGTCTTTACCACGTGGATGATGATCCATTCTTTTCATTCGCTCATCACCAGGCTGTCTTTCTTTACTTGGTTTTCGGACATCCTTTTTTTCAATTTCTCCGCCACGAGGAGGCATATCCGGAATTTTGTTTCTTTCCCTTCCCATTTTTTCTCGTTCGTGATGATCAAATTTTTTGATTTCTCTTTCGCGTTCGTGCTCCATTTTTTTGCCCATCTTATCTTTTTCGCGTTCATTGTGGATGTCTTTTTTGTCTTTCATAATACGTTCTCGTTCTCTTTCACGTTCCTTTTCTCGTTCTTTTTCACGCAGCTGATTTCTAACATCTATAGGATTTCTTATTTCCATCGGTTTATCAGGTAATGGATGAATTTGTCTCCTTGGACTATTGGTTCTAGCTGTTGCACGTGGGGATTGATGATCATCACGAACATTCGAAAGAGGATTGATACGATAAGGTTGTGGAGTTGATGGGCGGTCAGGTTGCACGGTAGCTTTATTTTGTTGTACAGCTGAAGTAACATTTTTGAGAGCTGAATCATTTTGATTAGTAGCAGAATTCGAACCGTTTGAAGTTGTTTGTTGTTTGGGAGTTTGAAATTGCTTATAGGGAATCCATGACTTTTTCATACTCCTTAATTTGCCCAAATAACTTAATGCTAATACCTTGATATCTGATCTTTTTTCATTGTCTGCTATATTCTTTACAAATGACTCAACTTTCTTACCCATAGTTTCAATGGCAGGAAAGTATTGAACTATTTCGCTCAGAACTATTATAGTATTTCGTACCGAAATATATTCGATTGCAAGAAGACCTTGTTCAAAAGCCTTGAGAAGTTTTGAGTGCCATTTATAATAAACACGTCTAAAGTCTTCATATTGCAATAAATCAGTTTCAGCAATACTTGAAGGTTGTCTATTTAAAGCGCTCCATTTCATTTGGAAACCGGGTATTCCTCTTCCTTTGCCTCTTTCTTCGTATGCATTGGAATCCTTATGAAGAACGCTAAGAGATTTTAAACAGGTTTGTAAAAAGCGTCCATAATTACGAGCTTCAGCTTCTGTACATGTAAATGTAAGCAGCTGCACTTGATCTGCAAACACTCTATCATAAAGTGTAAGCGTTGAAAAATTCGCTGTACCAATTTCGTGCATCACTTCAATAAATTTTGCACAAAAAACTGCATTATCTGCAGACATAATCAGTCGTGGGAAAAGACAATATTGCCAGAACTGTGTAATGATATCTTGGCGATTTGAGAATTGGCCAGAAAACCAATGATCTTTCTCCTTCATTAATCTTTGTCGAATACGTGAATTATGTTCAGGGTGTTGTCTATATTCATCTTCAAGTGCGTTAAGGATAGCCGTATACTTCTTAATATCTTGCGGCCTTTTCTTGTCTTCAGCAAACTTAAGTAATCCACGAGTTTCGCTTATAGCCTTTTGATATTCTTGAGCCGGAAATTGAAGATCATACAATGAGAGCTGCCAAAAAGTCGTATAAAACTCTGGGCTTATCCCATTCCATACATGCGGTGGATGTATCTGCTGTACTTGCTCGATTACATCGCGTAAAGCAGGTTGCCAAATATTGTCGTTATCAACATCCATTGTCGTCTCATATTGTGATTTGATTAAATAATTTAATTTAGGACGTAATAGCATGAACGTATATTCCGGTTGAACTACGTATTTATTACACAATTCGATTATATCTGGAATCATCTTATGATGTTCTTTCATATCAACGTTGAGGGCAAGAAATTCCATATATTGGACATAAGTGTTACGAACTGTGTCCAATTTTGCACCTAATTGTTTGAGATCAGATGATGTTGATATCGTAAGTATGTTATTTCCATCTGAAATAGGGAATGGAATTTTCTGACACATCTGTGCTATATAAAAGGCGAGCGGTGTCAAGAAACCAGTATCTATAATAGTTTTAGCCAACCTTGCCGAACTACGCCGTACATTTTTGTTAAGATTGATGTTATATAATCTTGACTTTCTGAGAGTATCGAATCCGCTCATTAGCAATACATCACTTTCAGATGGTATAACAGATAGCTCGATACCAGACAAATTGGTAATAAGTTGTGATATAACACATAAATCGACATCGTTATCAAGTTGAAGTTGATTAATAACATATTGTAAAATACTTCTGAGATCGATTGGTTCATATTTCCGACAGATCTGTCCACAAAATAAAGAGATATTTTGTAACCAATCAACCATATTGATTCCATCATCTTTAATCCTAGGCTTATCGCTAGCTAAAATTTCAAGCATAAGATAACTCAAGACATCATAAGCAAAATCGCTCAGATATCTACAAGCTTCGACCACAGGAGTTATCATATTTGGATAACGTTGAACCTGGTCTAAAGCTATTGAATAAACAATGGCAGGGTTTCCCGTAGCCAATTTTGAAATTTCACGACCTTTCTGACGATAATTGTCATCAGTGATCCTTTTCATTATGCCTCTTGCTTTCCTAATTATATTAGTCTTTAAATCTTTTAAAGTTGGATGCAAATTGTAACTCTCACTCTTCCATTCTCCGTAAATCCCGTACCTTATTTCGTATGGATAATGACACAACACATCCCAAAAATCAGTAATTACTCCTGGGTTCGTCTCACACATTGATATGCTTGGTAAAATTACAGATCTTATGATATCAAGCCAAGCTGTTTCCACTTGATAAATATTAGGGGTTGACCTTGAAATCGTGAGATGCCTAAGAGCGAGCCTTAGGATTTTAGTGAACAATATGATATCGTCATTAAAGAAGGGTGACACGAGATTTAACAATTCTCGACCTTCTTCAAGAATTAGTTCACCAATAGTGTTAAACATTGGTATGCTGTCACTCCAACGATGGTACCAAGATCCAGGGAAAGTTGGAGACTTTCTTGATCCTAAGATATTCGGAGCTATTGGGGCATAAATTGGTTCAATAGATATATGTAGTAATTCACAAACTTTATGAGCTATTTCCGGATGTATGTGAGGTAACTGATAAATATAATATCGAGCGTGATATAAATCACCAATGCTAAGAAGAGCACAGGCAAGTCCAAGTTCATGTCTATGCTGAACCTCCAACAGATTTTTCCATTCCATTTCTTCGGTTATTTCATCAACCATAATATGCGGATGAAGATCGCCAACACTAACAAGTCCTCGGTGTATTAAGAGAGCGGATACTTCATAAAGGGATTCGAACACGTTTGGTATCATGTCATCACCTTCATATCTTTGATATTTAGTTCCAAGTAGCTGAGCACAAGAAGGATTTCCTAAATCATTTTCCCACATGAATGATTGATCATGATTATTTCCATTAGAAATTTGTGGAGGCTCAGGTTTCCACGGAGAAATCTCCAATAAACGTAAAAAGAATTCGTGGTGCTCTCTAACATTAACTACAAATACGTCGAGAATCAAATCTAAGACCCTATTTGGATCAAGATGAAAGTACCCTATTAACATTTTAATTTGTTCAAGGAGACTATTTGCTCGTTCATTTAACGCCGCTTCAGTCTCGGCTATGTACTCTGGATCACAGTGCTGAGCTAGTTCACATATTAACTTTGCATATCCTTCATTCTCTTCCCTTAACAGATTATACTTTTGTTGTTTATATAACATAGATGTGTTAATTCGTACAAGTCTCCGGTTGAATATCTTCTCGTCAACGAGACCAGTTGCAGCAAGTAAAGAAACCTCAAGTCTAGTCTTGAATTGTTTTATATCAATTATTTTCTTTGAAAAAATATATTTTACAATACTTGCGAGTTTTGTTCGGTATTCAGTATTTAAGTCATCCTGAAAAGTAGATTCGATATACCAGATGGTATCCAGTATTATGTCTTTGTCTGTCTCAGAGAGACTTTGTGTGTTTGAAAAAAGCTGATCAAGACTGTTCAAAGGTTTTCTTCCTTGTACGATTTGAATAAAAGCTTGACGAAAAGTATCTTCCATATTACAAAATTACAGTGAAAAATTAGTCAACTTTAAAAGTAAATAAAAGATTTAATTTGACAAGTACTTTTCAATAAGTCGAGATAAGATTAGTTTTTTTTATTATTTTAGTATAAAAAAATCTCGTTTTGGTTAAAATGAACCTTTTTCGATTGCGAACTACTCAATTTACAAGTGTGAGAGAAGTTGAAAATAATTTACAGTGATGACATCATAAAAAATTCGAACATTGAATTTTATTCACAAATCATTAATCATGCGACAATATTTCGAAACTGCGCCACACGTGAAGAACGAAATTTTAAAATTGGAATTGATTTAAGTGATTTGCAAATAAAGTATGTAAAGTATGATATTAAAGATATAAATTCGAATTTATATCAACTTTACAAAAATTCGCGTCTGAAACTTTTCTCCCTAAATTATAAAAGAATCACGTAATTTGTGAGCAATTCATAGCCGTAATAAAACCATATAAATTTATAATATTTAAATCTTACACCGTTGAAAAGTCAAGTTTTTAACTTCCACCGAATTCTTTAATGAACTCAACCCGCGATATTTAAGCTATTGTTACAAATTAGATTAAAGAAATTCACGTTTTTACATATAAACAACTTACCAATACCAAGTCCTATTACAAGTCAATTGAAAGATCAACTATCCTTTCTCGCTGTCCGATTTTCAAGAGATGATAAAACTTTTGCAGGTGGTGGCGGAGCTTTCATACTAAAAGTTCTAGATCTTTTCTCATCTCTTTCTGCTGCCTTTAATGTTGCTCTCAACGAAAATGGAACAAATTGACGATTTGACCTCTGATATGATTGTAAACGCAATTCATTTCGGACGTCAAAGGCAGTTCGTTGACATTCAACGTTTTTTGAATTTCCTTCTAACAAAGTTTTAGCTCTTGTCAAATATTCAAACCGCTCAGATTTCATGTTTTCTAATTTAACTTTAAGATTATCATTAAAGTGTTCATTCGTTGCGCTCAATGGTTCTAACAATGTAAAGGGGTCAAATGGTTGCCCAATGGGATGATTATCTATACTGCGACGAATTACTATATTAGAAGCAACTTTTGCCAAATCTGTGCCCATTAATTTGTTTCTTTTTGAATAATATTGTTGAGCTATATCATCTCCATCTTCCAAAATATCCGTATTCCCTAGTCCACCAACAGGAGATATACTTATTTCGTGAATTATATTATCGAAATCGTTTGTTGCTTTTCTTTTTATTCCTTTCTTTAATATTGTCCCACAGGGATCAATATCGGAAACGAACTCGAAGACACGTTCCTTTCTCATTTTTTCATATATATAAACCGCATCATGAAGATCATATTGTTTACAGTATTTGTAAAGTTCAAAAATCTGTTGCCATGTTGCATAAGTAAGGCGAATTCTCTCTTTAAGGAAAACTTCTGGTTGTGTGAAGTATAAAAGATATAACCCATATAATATGCCTAATTTTATCTCAAGCAAGCGCGTATTCATAACATTATAAGATAAAAAAATTTGATATAGCGTTTGCATGAACACCGGTCTGCCAAGTTTCTCTGGACAAGCGAAATGAATTAAAGAAAATGTCCTTTCTTTCCAAACATCAGTAAATGAAGTGAAATCATAAGCTTGCTTTTTTTGATAAGAAATCATTAACGTTTTAACATCTTGTTCGAGAGCAGATCGGGAAATGACCTCAATTCCGAGAATAATCTGATCATTCTTAATAGTATGTGCTTGAGAATTCATATGCAAGAATTGGATTGATTAGAAATTTGGTTTTTTTTACTATTGAAGTAGGTTTTTTTTAATAAACAATGGCCTCACTCACGTGAAAAAGTAGAGATTTAGATCATTTAGATGTGATCGCCATACAGTGTTTTATTTTACAATCGTTTTTTACACTTTCGACTTTTATGTTAGAAAATGATCAGCTTTAAGAATTCATTCTATCGTTCACTAAAACCAAAAGCGCAATTTGGTAAATCAATATTAAATATTGGAAATTAAGTTATTAATAGTATTAATTATGATAAATATTTAAAATTAGCATTACGTAGAGGATTTTCTTACAGTGCCATTCGGTCTGCTAGTTATGAGGATACCGTTAAAAATATGCGTTTAACTAAAGACTCTCGTGTTATATGTCATGGTTTTACTGGAAAACAGGTTGGGAGTTATTTTTGTAATGACATTACTTTCAAGCTGGTGTTTGATTAAGAAAGGTCCGCGGATAATAACGCGTATAAATTAATTCTAATTGAATTCAATCATTCTACCATTTTTAATTCACCCTATTCAACCACCAATTTATTTAATTGTTTTATTTTTTTTATATATATATCGTAGGGAACTTTTCATTCAAAACAAGCGATAGAATATGGTACAAATATGGTGGGTGGAGTTTCACCTAATAAAGGTGGACAAACTCACTTGGGATTACCAGTATTCAGCACTACAGCTGAAGTAAGTTTATGTAGAAATTTTACCTGTTAAAAAGTTTCTTAATTGTAATGATTATTTTTATTTTATGATTTTTGATTAGGCAGCTAAAGAATTAAAACCAGATGCTACAGCAATTTATGTTCCTCCACCAGCTGCAGCTGCGGCAATTTTAGATAGTATTGAAGCAGAAATTCCCTTGATTGTTACCATTACTGAGGGAATTCCTCAACAGGATATGGTCAAGGTGCATAGCATATCCAAATGCAAGTAAAAAGAGTTTATAACGTATTTAACTTATGTAATTAATTAATGATAGGTTGTGAAAGTTTTGAAATCTCAAAGTAAATCACGTCTTATAGGACCAAATTGTCCCGGTATTATTGCACCAGGAGCATGTAAAATAGGTATTATGCCAGCTCATATTCATCAAAAAGGTAAAGTTGGCGTAGTTTCGCGTTCAGGAACTTTAACTTATGAAGCTGTCAACCAGACAACTCAGGCAAATCTTGGACAAACTTTATGTGTGGGTATTGGAGGTGATCCATTTAACGGAACAAACTTTGTAGATTGTCTAAAATTATTCTTAGAAGATGATAGCACGGAAGGTTTGTAATTTCCGTATAAGAAAAAAGAAACAAGAGGGATTTTTTAAATAATAAATTTCACTTATAGGTATTATATTAATTGGAGAAATTGGTGGATCTGCTGAAGAGGAAGCAGCAGAATATTTGAAGCAACATAATTTGACTCGTAAACAACCAAAACCCGTAGTATCTTTCATTGCAGGATTAACTGCACCGCCGGGTCGCCGAATGGGACACGCAGGAGCTATTATAGCTGGTGGTAAAGGTGGAGCTACTGATAAAATTAAAGCATTAGAAAATGCTGGAGTTGTTGTATCAAGAAGTCCTGCTAGACTTGGAATTCACTTAAGAGAAGTAAGAAACTCTGACCAATTACGTGTTATGTAGTTGTGACTTATAGTTTTTAAGATAGTGATTTATAAATTTTTTTTTTTTAACAGGAAATGGAAAAACTCGGATTGGCTTAAATTTTTTCAATTTTATTCAACACTGTTCCTATTTTTTAGAAATTATTTATCGCAATATTACAAATCTGCAAAATATTTATCATTACAAAGAGTGATTTGAATAACTTTATACCCTTAAATAAATAAATTATTTTAGTCGGAAAGATCCATGTCTTCCACACAATCTTCGTCATAAGATATCTCATTATTTCGATGATTCACATTTTTGTTCTGAAGTGTCCGCTGTTGTTGTTTAAATGAATCTGTTTTTGATATGATTGAATCATCCTTTTTCCATAATAGTGATGATTTATCTACCTTATAATGTTCTTGGGATTGAATAAACATTGCTTCAAATTTTGAAGTAGAATTATCTGCTTCAAGTGAAGGTATTGTCCCGGGAGGTGGTGGCTGCACATCGGAACTAGGTGTAAATATTCCGGGAGGTGGCACACCAAAACTGTATGTAATTATCCCCGGAGGTGGTGGCTGTAATTCTAAATTACTTGATATTATCCAAGGTGGAACATTACTTGTACTTCCAGGTGGTTGTGGCTGTTCATAACTATACCAGTCTGAATATCCATTATAATACCAACCTGACGTGGTCGGATAACACACATAATTTTCTTTGGTATTTTTGGTATAAAATGCAAATTGTTCTTTATCATTATAATTATTTGTTTTTCTAACAGTCACATTAGTCCTATTTTCAAATTTTGCGAAATCTAAGTTTAATCCGGGATAATAAACTAATGGAACTTTCTTTTTCTTCTCTTGTTGAAGTTCCTGAGTTCCTTGGATTTCTTTCTCAAAAGTCTCTTTCTGAGATTCCATGTAAAATTTTATTAATTCCTCTTTAGTGTTGTTGGTGACACCCTCTCTTATTTCTAAACAATTTTCCCTATCCTTTGAATCATCATTCTCGGAATTATTACCTGTTAAATCGCTGCTAATACTAGAAACTTCCAATGAATCATTGCTATCACTCCTATTATTATCATAAATTTTTAATGTAGCTGAATTCCACTTTTCCTCTTCCAATTTAGATAATCTATCTTTTTTAGGTTTTAGTGGATCTAAAATTAAAATAAAATATCAGAACAAAAAGTTCATAACCCATTTCTTTAAATTATCATAATTACCATCTCCTTCATTATCTCCCCAATACCCTGGTGGATAGCCGTAAACTCTCATTCTCTTATAATAAGGAGGTTCGTCCTCACTTTCCAATATTCCTAAAGCATCTTTTAACACATCACTTATAACACCTGGTAAAAAAATGTTAAAAATAAAATCTTTTTCGTATTCAATAAAATATCTACTATTAAATTGTTGTCTTCCATTATTAGATTTACTATCTTGTTCATTATTAAATTTTTCTTTATTTATTTTAATTAATTTTTCATCTAAAGGTAATGGACAATTATAATATGAATGATATGGAGATGAACAGTTAAAGCATTTTCTTACTGATATTATTAGACTAAAAACAAAATAAAATTAATTTATGAAAATTAAATAATTAATAAGAAAAAAAAATGTTACACACCTTTTATCTACATTGTTGTTTAATTTGAATGTTTCGATTTCGTCATCTTTTTCTTTTTCCTCGTAACCAAGTACGCAATCCGTAATTCTTTCATAAATTATTGAATCCTCATTGATTAAACAATTATCATCATAATTATTCTTCGTTTCAATTATAATAGCAATTGCTTCATTATCATTCTTTTCTTCTTCACATATTATCTCTTTATTACAACTTGTCACTTCATGATCAATATATATTATCGTATCCCTTTTGAATGAATATGAACTATGTTTTTGTGGTAATATAGAAATATAAGGAGTAAAATGTAAATGTGGGGATACTTCTGGCGAAGATATTTCATGCTTTACTAAAAAATTAGCTTCTTTTAATGGTAAGCTATTATTAAGATGATCCTGAGAAATTTGAGAAGGAAAAGAACGTTGAATGTTTTCATCGTAATACAAATTTCGTTTGTGAAAATGATTTCGGTGAACTCGATCTATTTGATTGAGGTTTTCTTCCATTTCAATAGATAAATAGAGAATAAAAATATAAATATCCACTAATAGACAAGTACCCCTTTTTCGTGGCAGCAGTAAACTACCCGGAGTAAATAGTCACGAAATGGCCGGCATTACGACATTTGGCTGGAATTAAGAATGACGTACATGTGATATAGTTATTACAGATACTGATCGCCTGAAATTAATTAATTTCGGCCAGAATTAGAACCACTTGATTTTTGCCTAAATTAATTGATGCCAAATTGAAATATTAATCATGTGATTTTCTTTGATTTTCTTGATCAAACCTCTACTATATATCAAACTTTAACTTCAAATCATGAGTTTAATATATTAAGATTTGACTGTAAAAAATGAAAAAATGTGTAAAAAGATAAAAAAAAAAAATCAAATGGAATTAAATATAATAAAGGAACTTTTCTTTTATTATGGCAAGCATTGATCAAATTTTTAAGCAGTTTTTAATAGTCATCTAAAAATTATGTTGGATTTTTTTATTAGAAAATAGAATCCACCATTCCACTTACTACTAATAGATATCACCATAGAAAAATTTAACTTTTATATAAAACCTTATATATATATAGTTATCCTTCCTTATAATCACATGTCTTAGAACTGTCAAATGCTATGATTATAGGGAAGTATTCTTATAATAAAGTCCTTCCATATAGTCACATATATATAACAATATGAGAAAATGTAACTATATTTTTTTATCCAATTAAAATTAGTGAAACATCAACAAGAATCGGTGATATGTTTTTTATTTTTTTAAAAAAAATAATTTTTTCTTTTTTTTAAAAAAATATAATGTTTTATTATTATTATATTAAATATTACGAATTAATACAAAAAAATAGAATACATTTATCTGAAATTGATTTTATCATTAAAAAAATTATAGCCATAACTCGATATAACGATTCAGGATTATACATACTGCTCAAATTATTTTGGGATGTCATAATTATAATTTGGGATGTCGTAATTCATTTAATTTATATATAATTTACTATGTAAAGTGCTAAAATAATTTGAGATGTCATAATTGAATTTGGAATTTTACTTATAATTACGGCAATCCAAAATAATTTGAGTGGCATATATATTTAGAATAAACTAATTTTAGCCTATAACAAACTTTTTTCTTAAACTAAACTATTTATAATCAATTATATCACTATACACTGACTTTATTATAAATTTTGTGATATTACATATAACAAAGTTAATTATAAAACCAGTCATACTTATTATTTGTGATAAACTGATACCATACTAATTCTAGCCAGAATTAACTTAGTTTCAGTTGGCATTATTCAATACAGCAGACCACTAATTCTCAATTTCAGTGCATTTATTTACAAGTTTCTGTATAATAACATTATATTGAACTATTGGTATTATAAACACATTTTAAGGTAATAAAATTTGACTTTATATTGATATACTTTTTAAATATACTGTTTTTATACTTTTCAATATATCAATTGGTATACAGTCAAACCTCGATATAACGAACTCGCGGTTCAAGGGCAAAAGTTCGTTATATAGTAGAAGTTCGGTATGTAAATTTTTTTTGTGTACCAAACTCCATAAGTTTTACAGTAACAGTTCGGTATATAAAGTTATCACGTGATTAAAGAATATTAATTTTGGCCAGAAATTAAGATTTAACAGTATAAATTATGTGAAATTTCAACCACGTGATCAAGTTCGGTATATAAAGAATTTTTTTTATATGCTTTATTATAAACGGTAAATCATAAAAGTTCGGTATACGTTATATCGAGTTTATATGAAATTCGGTATATCGAGATTTTTTTAAATAATATGAACCCGGTTTTTAAAAAAAAGTTCGGTAAGTCAAGAGTT